AACAGCAACAAAAAACACGGGTTCCGGTGTTTCCCTATCTATCCAAAGGGATTCGCATGCGGGTCGCCTAAGCCTACATACATATCACAAGTATACCTTCATTGTCCCCGCCGACATACGGCTTAATCATGAGACAGCACCCGCCACGGACAGTAACTGCCAACCTCACAAATTCCTAAACCCTGAACTCAAAACCTTTTGCGGAATACACGGGAGCCGCGCTCCCACCACCTTCAGCGTCCTTGTAGACGTACCTGCAGGGTTTGGGGTTTAGGGTTGGCTTGGGGTTGAGGATGCACAGAAGTTAATTTTCGGCTTCCTTCTTAGGGAACTTCTTGCGGCTTTCATGCACAGGGACCATAGGGGTCTTGCAACGGGATACATGAAGTTCAGAATTGGCCAGGGATTCCCAAACTTGTGGGTCATTTCTTGTGAAAACTGCACACTTAAGATAAGGACAAGGGATAAGCACACGGATCAATGATCCGGTTGGGGCTTGTTTCTGGGCTTTGGGCAACCACGCACGCAAACAATTTTACAATGCATGGATTGACAGAGATGGCAACAAGCGCTCTAGAAAACGCCCAAGGGGTCCGTGTATGCGCCCCTGGGGATTTCGGCTGTTGATTGACGATGGGTCCATTTTTAGGAGCCCAAGAAGCAGGAGTGTACCCTGACTATGACCAGTGGAATCCCCTCCCCAGTGCTAAAAACGTCCACCTGCCAAAGAACTTCAAGTGGAATCTTTACAATCTATCTCACATAGAGATTTCTGATTGTGCTTCACATCCCCGCTCCATAAAACTGGTAGCAAAGCCCTACCTCACTTTAGCATCTCCAAACTACTGAAGGGTTAGGGGCTTAGGATTGCAGAGTTTAGTAGAAGATAATTTGCCAAGCTCTTTGCAAGAATTCCTATGTCTGATAGGCGGGTTGCTCTTCAGCTACACGCACAAAAACTAGAACCGCTGTTGCCCTTGTAATCTTATCAGAACTCCAAAAACAAGCCTCCATCATTGCAAAGCCCCAGATTGACCTGTAAAGTGGTTTCTGACTGTCCACCACGCTTCGAAGCCTATCACAGCACAACTCCGCATATGAGTACTGTTTTGGTGGTTGAACCATGTACGATTACATTTTTCTTATAAGAATCCATCGTCTTTATACTATGGGACTATAGTTGTTGTTGCTTACATGTGCTCAAATCGGTCTCCCAAAACGATTGCTTGTAGTTACCCCATGGGTGCTTGGGGGAAGAAGCAGGTGGTATATCAGGATTACTTTGCAAAATTCCCGAGTACTCACACACACACACAAGCACTAAAAGAAGAAGCTTGAAAAACAACGCACCCCAAGCCCTAAACCCCACACCGCGTACTATAAGAAGCCCCGAACCCTAAACCCTGAACCCAACGAAGAAGCTTGACAAAACCAACCCTTTGCGGACCACGCAATCACGGCTGCGGGGAGCGTGACAACGGGAACCAGGATAAGAATCAGCGATCGCAGGTTCGAGCTGCACACAGCTTCGGGTTTCAGGGCCAAGGGGCTTTACGGCCTAGGGAAGAGCCATCAGAAATCACTCCCCACTCCCTTATTTGATAGTAGATATTCTGGGTATGACACCCTCAGATATTGGGGGAAGATGTATATCAAAGGTTGGGGGTCTTTATTATCAGGGTGAGATGATTACCGCTTCGAACATAGAAGGCTTCCGAAATGGGGGTCATCTTAGTGATCTTTACTTGGAGGCTTTATGAGAAAGATGCGGATTATGCATAAATAGGGAGGTCACCCTGCATAGGCCCCAAAATTCCATAATCCTTACTGTAGGGACCCTCCAAAAGGGTACCCCTCATTTTGGGAAACTCCCCTGTATAGGGAGTGTTTGAGGGTCTCAGACACTCCTACAGTTTCAGCCTTAACAATAGTAGTCTCCATTTTCTTTCCATTATCCCTATATATATATAACCTCAATATACTAAAGTTGCTTCCATTTTGAACTGTCGCACCTTGATGGTTGCTAGGCTGCCATCATGCTTATGCTTTCCACGGTTTGCTGTTCTTCATCTGGGTTGCTGGTAAGGAACCTAAATTAAGTTACTATATTTGGGGAAATCCAATCAGATTCCATATATACCCATTATGGTAACTTAATGCAACTTCCTTAACAGCAACCCAGGCTTCATGGCGTTGCGCTAAGCTCTTTGATGTGTCAGACCAGGACTAGCATGTTGTCAGCGAAAAAACGGAAAACATGTCTTTTGGCTGTCACACCCTTGCTGGCAATGTATGAAAAACTAAGCTTCTGACATCAGTCTCCTCAAAGAATCAACGCAAAAATGCTCAGTGCTTGCGCGCTCCTGACCACCCCGCCGATACTACCCTGCGCCTAGGTTCCCCTTAGTGAAACTTATGAATTTCTGTATGGATAACAGAGCGAATTCCAGCAACTTAGGAGGGCACCTAGTGGGGAAGCATCAGGTGGTGGTGGTGGTGGTTGCGGGACTAATCCATTCATCTTAGCATTCAACGGCCGCCCCCGGCACTCCCTTGAATTGAATATTCGCTGCAGGAGACCTGATATGCAAGGGGTATATTTCATGTTGATTAGGTGGGGGGGATCTGATATCAGGGGGCGGGGTATCAGGGGGCGGGGGGTGATTGAAATTACCGTGAAGGGATTAGTGGCCGTGTGGGCCACGTGAATGCTTGGTCGGCTTTCAAGATGCCACCGTACCCTAAACAATAATCGTGCTTACCACGCGTTCGCGTTAAGAGTATGATGTGCGATTTTTCATAGGTGGTCCACCAGTTTCTCAAAACACCCACATTCTGTCTGAACCCAGGCTTTGAACACTAAACCCTATGACAGGCAGCACAGAATGCTTTTAAATGACCAGGAAAACAAAGACACTGGTGATAAGTAGGGAATGAAGGAAAATGCTATCTTGCAGGGGAAATATGCGGGGACTACCATAGGGGTGCATCCTTTTCGTCTGTACGAGCCACTCGCTTTTTTTGTGGAAACATGGAATGGAGGAATTTGATCGCTAGAGCACTCATAGCCCCTACACAAACCTTATACTATCGTAGATTCCGACCCTAAACCCGTAACCCTACAGTTCAACTTCCGCTTCTTGCTTCCTAACCATCAGTAGTGTACAGAGCAACTCGGAGATCGAAGCCAAGTCCGGAGTCCTAGGGGTAGGTTTGGAGGCCCTGTCAAAAATTAGACTAAGGGTAACAGCTCTTAACACATACTACAGGGGCCTAAATAATTACCAATATTATTTTGAGGTCCGTTTGAGGTACGATAGACCATAATAAGAAGGACTATGGAACCATAACATTGGTAAATATTTCGGCCCCTATATCATTCTCTAACCCCATACTGACAAGCTGACAAGGATTTTGGTGGTCTTAGCACTGCTCCCAAGCTAGCATGGAATCCTTACAGCTGGGTTGCTGTTAAGGAACTTGAATAACTTTAAGCAAGCTACCAGAATAGGGACATATGGTAAACAACATGGCTGCCTAACTTTGGTAGCCTAATTTAAGTTCCTTAGCAGCCGCCCAG